TGTTTTATACAAAAAGAATATTTGGCCGGACGATGTTTAACAAAACCACCCTTACTATCTTTTAGATATGACCTCGCCATTTTTGTTCTGAATTCCCTGTGCAACTTTCCAGGTTCTCTATATACAAAGGCACGATGTTCCTCGCCAATTATAAAAGCTTTCTGCAAATAATTCAGTTTATTAAAACATAGTTCAGTTTATTTAAACATCCCAATGGATAGATTAACGAAATTAAAATTTTACAACTAGCTTAAGTTAGTGTGTTACTTCAATTTCATCCCAAATGTTTTGTTTATAAACCCCCACAGCCTCTTTATTTTTTTTCGCGCTCCAATTGTCCAAGCTTATTGGAACTAACCGACGAACTGTGACACCAATGAAACTAGCAAAAGTCTTGCTATTATGCTTGATTGGTTGACCTCTGGAATTCCATTGAACCTATAACAAAATTAAAGTGCAAATAAAGAATCAACAGTCTCACTAATAGTGTTTAACATTCAAATAGTTTCAAACAACTAACTCATAAAAGATAATCATGTATGTAACCATCACTCATACATAGTTCAGTAAAAGGAAAATTGCCAAGAGAGTAAACAGTATCATAAAACTCTAGCTATTTTACCTCAATTCTCTTTCCATTGCTTTTGGCTTTGTGAATTTTTTGCAATCGGGTCACACCATGTTTACCAACTGTTTTCTTACTAGACGAACCACTTTCATCATCAATAGAAGCCATATTTCACCTATAAAAATTTAAAAAGTTATATACCATACAAGAATAACATTAAGAAGCAATAACAATAAAAAATGAAAAACAAATAAATAAACCATACAAGATTAAGTCGGCCTTTTCCTCTTCCTTGTAGTTGGATTCCTACTTTTCTGTTTTCTAGTTACATAAAATGATGGATTGATCCAAATCCCATCACTGTGATCGTTTCTCATATAAAGAATATCATCTATAATTGATTCAGACTCAAGGGATTGTGAAGTATTAAAGAAAGGGTCATCCTCAACATCTATATTTGGAGTGGCGTGATCATTTATTTTGTTACTTAGAAACACAATAGACCACTTTTCATCAACAGGATCAGTGACATAGAACACTTGGTGAGCTTGTGATGCTAAAATAAAAGGCTCGTCTTTATACCCTACTTTATTAAGATCGACCTTCATAAACCCAGGGTCAACTAGAAGGCCATTGTTATTGTCAACCCACTTGCAACCAAACACGGGCACTTGAAAGCATGAGTAATCCAATTCCCAAATACGTTCAATGACCCCAAAATATGACAATTTGGAAAATGCGGGATTTCTATTTTTGGAACTTGAGATTTGCACAGATTCAGCTACGAGTGTGACACCACTATTTTGCACAGTGCTTTGATGATCATGTTCTTCTGTATAAAATGTATACTTGTTAATTATATAACCAGAGTACGATAGAACATTTGAATTTGGACCATTTGCTAGCCATCTCAATCTTTCTGAAATTGAATCAGGATTTTTAGTAAATTCTGAAAAAATGTGTTCTTTTAGCCACGGTATAAAACTTCGATTGTGTTCTCTTGTTAACCAATTTTCACTCTTATTAGGGTTCAAACTTTGAAGTATTTCTTTGTGCTTTTCAACATATGGCTCAACCTCATCAGCATTGTGTAGAACATACAAGTGTGATTGCTCCAATTCGATGTCTGACATGGTTACTAGTTTACTTGCACCAATCCCTTCCCCTGTTGTTTTTCCAGAGTGTCGTGACATTGGAATCCCTATGGGCTCAATATTAGAGAGGTATTCAGTACAAAACTCAATGGCTTCTTCAACTAAATATCGTTCAACAATACAACCATCTGGTCGACTTCGATTCTTCACGTACCCTTTTATTATCTTCATGTAACGCTCAATCGGGTACATCCACCTCATATAAGCTGGTCCACAATATTGTGTTTCCATTATAAGATGGACTGTAAGATGAACCATTATGTCAAAAAATGAGGGTGGAAAATACATCTCAAGCTCACATAATGTGACAACAATTTCCTTTTGTAACGTCGGTAACTTCTCAGGGCCAATAACTTTGCTACAAATAGCTTTGAAGAAAAAACAAAGTTTAGTTATGGTCCATCGCACATTTTCAGGTAAAATGGAACGTATAGCCACTGGAAGAAAGTTCTCCATTAAAACATGACAATCGTGAGACTTTAAACCCTTCAATTTGAGATCTTTCATAGATACCAAACTCTTAATGTTTGATGAGTAGCCCTCTGGAACTTTAACATTGTGAAGAACCTTACACAAGATCTTTTTCTCTTTTCTTGACAGAGTATGAGCTGCTGGAGGTAGAAATGTACGCTTCCCATCCCTCTTAACCGGCTGTAACTCATTTCTTAATCCCATACTTTGCAGGTCTAACCTTGCATTAATGCCATCCTTAGACTTTCCTGGAAGATTGAGTAATGTACCAACGACACTTTCAAACACATTTTTTTCTATATGCATCACATCAAGGAAATGTCTAACATACAATGACTTCCAATACGGCAATTCAAATAAAATTGACTTTTTTTCCATCCTCCCTTTACATGTTCACTTGAAAATGGCTTTCCAAAATTAGTGCTCAAAAGCTTTACCTTTTGGTATAATTGATCACCCGTCAAAGCCAAAGGAGCTCTATTTTCTTCTGATTCACCATTAAAAGCTTTTCTCCATTTTCGAAAATGATGGTTGGTATTTAAAAATCTACGGTGTCCAAGAAATACATTCTTCATACAATACTCCAATCGTATTGAATGTGTACCATCTTCACATATGGGGCATGCAAATTTTCCTTTGACACTGTAGCCTGATAGATTCCCATAGGCAGGAAAATCATTGATTGTTCCAAATAACATAGCCCTCAAGTTGAAGGATTCTTTTTTATACTCATCATATACCTCCACACCTGTCTCCCACATATGCTTTAAATCTTCAATTAATGGAGCCAAGTATACATCTATATCATTTCCTGGTTGCTTGGGCCCAGAAATTAACATACTCAACATCGTGTATTTGCGCTTCATACATAGCCATGGAGGTAGGTTATAAATCAACAAAATGACTGGCCAAGAAGTAAGTTTACTACTTTGAATACCATGAGGATTTATTCCGTCAGTAGACAATGCAAGACGTAGGTTTCTTTCTTCCTTCCCAAAATTTGGGTAATCATGATCAATTTTTGCCCATTGAGGAGAATCTGCGGGATGTCGGAGCATTCCATCAACAACCCTTTCATTTGCATGCCATGTTAAGTTCTTTGCGTCTTCTGCATTATGATACATGCGCCTAAATCTTGGTATTATCGGAAAATACCATAGCGTTTTGGATGGAGCTGTTTCTTTCTTCTTATAGCGTGGGGCACTACATTTAGGACACATATTCAACGATGCATACTCCTTGCGAAATAAAATGCAATCATTTGGACAAGCATGTATCTTCTCGTAACTCATGCCAATAGAACATAACAATTGTTTAGACTCATACGTTCGACTAGGGAGCACGTTGTTCTCAGGCAAAATATCCTTTAACAGAGTCAACAAGTCTGTGAAGCTCCTATCGGACCATCCATGGCGTGCTTTTAAGTTATACAACTTTAAGACCGTTGACAGTCTTGTGAATTTAGTACATCCATCATACAACGGAGTCTCTGCATCACTTACTATCCGCTCAAACATTTGAGGGCAATCACGAAGATCTTCCTCAATTACATTGACAAATTCTTCAACTCGATCAAACGCATAATTCGTATCTTTTTCAAAATCATTTGATGAATCTCTCCCATTGCTCCTTTTTGTGGACTTGGTTTTTTTTCCCCGTGCATTATCCAGCATGTGTAGCTTTTATCAATTCCATTACATATTAAGTGATCTTCCAAAACATTTGCACTAACATCCGTATAACAACATTCTAAGCAAGGGCATATGATTTTACTAGTGTCTTCAGCATGAGCAATAGCAAACCTAACGAACTCACGAACTCCATCTTCATATTCTTTTGACGCTCGATTGGCAAACATCCATTTTCGATCCATATTTCCTAACAAGTAACGTATATAACTAGTTAAAAATTGGTTCTAACAACCAAATTATACAAAAAAAAATTCTTGTCTAACATGTTAAATGAATAATGTGTAGGGTTTGCCTCGCGGAAAGGGTTTGTTGCTACTTGCTGAAATGAGTTCAGCTGGTAACCTTGCCAAGGGAGATTACACATCTGCTGCAGTGAAAATTGATGAGGATCATTCCGACTTTGTTATTGGCTTCATCTCAGTCAATCCAGCATTGTGGTCTGGTGCACTGATAAATCCTTGTTTCATTCACGCAACTCCTGGAGTTCAAATGGCGATTAGTGGTGATGATCTAGGGCAGCAATATAATACTCCATATTCTGTAAGTTTACGCATGTTGCCATCTATATTTCATCGTATTTCTGTTACTTTGTGCTGTTTTGCACATTCTTGTACTACTTTTCTTCAAAACTCACCAAATGTTTTTCTCGTTCAGGTGATCCATGATAGAGGTAGTGACATTATTATCGTCGGGCGTGGCATCATCAAGGCAGCGAATCCAGCTGCAGCAGCTCGCGAATACCGTCTTCAAGGGTGGAGTGCATACTTGGACAAGTGTAAGTAAGGCCTATATTCCTCACCAAATGGATGAGATGTTTCATTTTGAAGTTGTTCATAAATAGCCTCCTAGTATGGATGCAGCACTGAAATTTTGTTTACTTTAAGCTAGAAATTGTTTTTGGGTTCAGCTACGTATACCAGAAGGGTTTAATTTTTAAAACAGAATAAGTGGGTATTATGACAATGCAAACAAACAGAAAATTTCACATTCAACTTTCAAGCATTATGTGATGAGGATTATATATAAGAAAAGATAGTTGAGAATTCTATCTAAGAAAGCTCCATTGAGAATTATAAAGCCACCTTAGGACACATATTAAACGATGCATATTCAACGATGCATACTCCTATCACAAAACAACTGCTCTCAGATTACACTCATCTAACACCAAACCACACACTTCGAAGACTCATTCAAGCATGGTGTACACTTAACGCTTCACAAGGAATCCAAAGGATTCCAACTCCAAAACCACCTATCAACAAAACCCAAATCACCAAACTCATCAAACAAGCTTCTCAGTCAAATCTCACCATTCAGATTAAATGTCTCATAACACTTAGATCATTTGCTTCTGGTAGTGAAACAAACAAACGTTTCATGGAAGATGCTGGTGTTGTTGACTTCTTAGCTTCTACTGTGGTAAACAATAGTTGCAACATCGATTCCGCATCTTTATTATTGTCAGAGACTAATGTTAATCTGGTTGATGAAGCATTAAGAATACTTCATAACCTTCATGTATCTGAAGCTGGATTGAAGAATCTACTAGCTTTCAAAAACGGTCAATTTATCGAGTCCTTAACAAAAGTTTTACAGAAAGGTTTCTTTGAATCAAGAGCTTATGCAGTTTTCTTGCTTAAATCTATGACAGAAGTAGCTGAACCAGTGCAGTTACTTCATCAAAAAACCGATTTATTCGTGGAACTGGTGCAAGTTTTGAAGGATCAAATATCACAAAAGGTATCAAAAGCAGCCCTTCAGACACTAATTATCCTCTGTCCATGTGGAAGAAAAAGAATCAAAGGTGTTGAAGCAGGAACAGTTCTTGTCTTAATAGAGCTTCTGTTAGAGAATTGCAAAGACAGAAAACCAAATGAAATGATGTTGCTTTTATTGGAATGTCTCTGTCAGTGTGCATAAGGAAGAGCTGAACTTCTGAGACATGGTGCAGGAATGGCTGTTGTATCTGCGATCCGCGATGAAATAAATGATGTCGAGATAATCTACAAACCGCTTTCTGATATGCTCGAATGCGTAGGCGAAGCGGATGTAGTTTTCACAAGCACGGCATCAGAGAATCCTTTGATTTTAAAACAACATGTTAAGGAACTTCCTTTCGCAAGCGAAGAAATGGGACGAAAGCGCCTCTTCGTCGATATTTCTGTTCCGAGGAACGTAGGTTCGTGCATCGATGACCTCGAATCAGTCAAAGTTTACAATGTCGACAACCTTAAAGAGGTAGTGGCTGCTAACAAAGAGGACAGACTAAGAAAAGCAATGGAAGCACAAGTGATCATCGGCGAAGAATCGGGCCAATTTGAAGCATGGAGAGACTCGTTAGAAACTGTTCCTACTATCAAGAAACTGAGAGTTATGCTGAAAGGTTAAGGATTGCTGAGGTTGAGAAATGTTTAGGTAAAATGAGTGATGAGGATATAAATAAGAAGACACAAAAAGCAGTGGATGATCTTGGTAGAGGTATAGTGAATAAAATGCTTCATGGTCCAATGCAACATTTGAGATGTGATGGGAGTGATAGTAGGACTTTGAGTGAAACACTTGAGAATATGCATGCTTTGAATAGAATGTTTGGTCTTGAAACTGAGGTTTCTGTTTTGGAGCAGAAGATTAGAGCTAAAGTGGAGCAAAAACCATAGTGAGATTAATATGAGACCATTGTTGTTGATTAAACTCATTTGTTTAGGATTGAGAATCATGTCAAAAGACAATGATAAAACAGAGAACAATAATAAAACCTCAACATTGTATGAAAAACATAGAACAGTGATGAAACCAACCTGAATGTAGTTAATTATATCAAAGTTTGCAAGTCTTGATCCACCCTCTTGCTGTCTACAGAGCCACTGATCAAGTTTTTCCTGAAATCAAAAAAACATCCAACATTAACGAAATGCCAATTTTTGCTTGGATTGAAAAGAAGAATCGATTAATTGTGACTAAATCACACCAAAACAGCAGAAGCCTTATCACTCAAACTAGAACAAACTTTTCAACTCATCTTCAACCAATGTACTGACTTTTTTGCTCTCCATAAAACTTCATTCCTCTCTTCTCTTCCTTCTTCCATGTCTACATTCTTTCTTCTGCACTCAACTCAGATGGCATAGCACTTATATCATTCAATTCCCACTAGATATCACTTCCGCCTCTCATAAACTCAACATGAGTTCCTTCTCATTCAAAACCATACTCATGGGCTGGTCTCAAATACAACTCTTTCCACCGTGTAATCTCTCTCAACGTTGATATTTACGGTTAACTAGGACTAGAAATTGAAAATTGCACACAACTTCAACACATAGACCTTAGTTAAAACTAATTCAATGGCCAAATACCTTACACTTCATGCCACTACTCACAACTGCTCACATCAATAACCAGCTCATCTCTCACCATTCAGGCACACATCAATAACACAAGCCTTATCACTCAAATTTCACGAACCCTCACAACTGCAACTTAACCTCACAAACCCTCATTACAGCTACTCAAAATCACGAATATTCGTCAACACAAAGACATCATAACGCTCACAAACAACACAGAGAATCAACGGATAGCAGAAACTGGAAAAAGAAATATTACCGGATACAAATGAAGAGAGGGATGACGACGACGTAGGTGAGATGACAAAGGGTTGAGTTCGACGGAGAATGAGATTTGGTTGTTCTTTCTTTTCGGTGTTTCCTCCTTCTGTTTGAGTGTCGTTTGAGAAGTGAATCTGAATCTGAATCGATGGTGAATCCGATGGCTGAAGAATGGATCCGGGTGAAAACCGAAGGAAGGGATGACGGTGGTAAATCAATGACTAACGGCGGTGAATCAATGAAAACCGAAGGAAGCAGAGGAAGATTTGACGGCGGTGAATCAGTTGGGAGAATCAATGGCTAAGAAGGAAGCAGAGGAAGATAGTGTTTTTGTTTTTGGCGGTGAGTGGATGCGGGAAACGTGTTTTGTTTTTCTGAAAATGTGTTTTGTTTTTCTGAAAATGTGTTTTGTTTTTTTTTTATCAATTAATTAATTAATTCATTATTATATATAACATAGAGCTTTTTAATAAATGCTATTATATAGGTAGTCAAATAATAGCGTTTTATACAAAATGCTATCTTAAAGAAGTTTAATAATAGCGTTCTGGTACAAAGTGCTATCATAATTACATAGTCTGTATTATATAATAGCGCCCGATTAAAAAGTGCTATTATAAATGTGTTTTTTCCATTTTAATAGCATTTTTTTTAAAAGTGCTATTAAATTAGGTGATACAAAAAATCATTTTTGGCGTAGTGATTAGACAGCACTTTGAAATAAAGCGCTGCCTAAAGTTAAGAAAAACCGCTGCCTAATCCTCATTTTAATCAGCGCTTTTTAAAAAGCGTTGTCTAAAGTCAATTAAAATTGAAATAAAATAAATAAATTCTAGAAGCGCTGCCTAAACTCAAAGCACTGATATACGCCAAACAGTAGGAAGCGATGCTATACGCCTAAAGCGCTGCTAAAGGCTTATTTTAGAAAGCGCTGCTAAAGGCTTATTTTAGAAAGCGCTGCTATAGCCTATTAAGAAATTTCAGAAAAAGCGCTGCTAAAAGAGCTACTTTAGAAAGAGCTTTTAAGAAGCGCTGCTTAAGGTCATAAGCGCTGCTATAGGGAATACACTATAAATCACTTTTATTTAGAAAGCGCTGCTAAAGGTAATACATTAGAAAGCGCTTTATAAAAAGCGCTGTCTAAGGTCATTATTTCTAAATTAAAAAACATAAAACCCTAAAACACAGTTTTCATTCTCATAACAGGACAAGTCTCCAACGATGCTTACCAACTGATTTCGAACAGCTTTTTCAACGCGATTCTACAACTATTATCCAATAATGATTCTCCGTGATTCTGTTTTGTTTTCAACACGATTCTATTTTGTTTTCAACGCGATTCTATTTTCTTTTCTCCACGATTCTATTTTGTTTTGCTCGATTCTGTAAGTTCTTCAACGCCATTCTCTTTTCTTCTCTGGGATTCTGATTTCTCATGCATGTTTTTGGACTGTGTTGTTAACAAAAAAAATTGTGCTGAATATTTCTGGAAGTTTCTCATTGTTGTTGATTGTGATACTGAGATTTTGAGGTAATAAAGTTTTAGTTGTTGATGCTCATATATAATGCATTGATAATGAATAGAATTCTAGAATGAGGCATAAGAGGTTTTTCATGAAAATGCGCATATATAATGCATTGTGTTAGAGGCTATTTTACTACTGTAATGCTCATATATAAGGCATAAGAGGTTTTTCATATAGTTCTCATATACAAGGCATAAGAGGCTATTTTACTACTGTAATGTTATTTTCTTGTCTTAGTTTTTGAACAAGTTAGATCTCTTTCTCTCAACTTTATTCTTTGCGATTTAATATTTGCTTGTCTTAGTTGTTATGCACAAGAATGATGAGTGAGGACTTCATAGTATAATTTTATAGTCCCACACTACTAACGAGAGAAATTAGATGACTTTGAAGTTATATATAAAAGTAAGTTTATTCTGTGCTAAAGTTCTTCAACGCGATTTTGTTTTTCTTTTGTTATTAGGTCGGAGATAAAGTTGTGAGTTGTGATATTCAATAGCTTGGCTTTCTAAAAGATCAACATCTCAGGTAAGGAGTTTACAAAGTTAGGTTCATTAATATATTACAATATAAACTTAAAAACCATTTTGTTTTAAACATGTTTGAAATTGAAGTAGTGAACCTAATTATTTATGTGTAGTTGCTGCCAGATTTCATAGTCGCTTTCACAATCTTACGTTGTGTGGTTCCAGAAGTTGTTGACTTCTCTACAGGTAATTAGTTGTTATGGTACGTGATTAATTATAGTGTTTATGTTTAGGCTACTTAGTAGTAAAACCATGGATAAAAAATGGATGTCTTCGAATCGATTGCCAAAAGAGTACGAGAATGGGGTATTAGAATTCATTAAGTTTGTTGTTGAACATGCCGAAAACCCCAGTCGAATGAAATGTCCTTGCTTGGGTTGTTGTTATGGGGGTTGGGTTGACGCATTTGTACTGGAATCACATTTACTGAGGAATGGAATAGATCGAAGTTATACATGTTGGATATTTCATGGTGAGAAAAGTAACGAAAATGTTGAACCGGGGGATAGTACGACATATACTTCAGACGACAATGGCAGAGATACATACGATTGTGATTATGTCGAAGAGATTGCAGAAGAACTTGAAGAAGATCTTCAGGATTGTCCCAAAATGTTTGAGAGGTTAGTAAGCAATGTAGAGAAACCGTTGTATAAAGGTTGCACTAAATTCACAAGATTGTCCGCAGTATTAAAGTTGTACAACTTAAAGGCGGGCAACGGATGGTCGGATAAAAGTTTCAGAGAGTTATTAGTCCTTATGAAAGATATACTTCCGAAGGATAATGTTCTTCCAGATCAAACATATGCGGCCAAAAAATGTCGTGCTTTATTGGCATGAGCTATGATAAGATACATGCTTGTCCAAATGATTGCATTTTGTTTCGAAACGAATATGCATCGTTAAATGAGTGTCCTAAATGCGGTTTATCTCGATATAAGAAAAAATTGTTCCCAACAAAAGTCTTATGGTATTTTCCTATAATTCCGAGATTTAGATGCATGTTTGCTAGTGAAACCGATGCAAGACACTTGACTTGGCATGCAGATGAAAGAATTATTGATGGAAAGTTTCGACATCCGGCATATTCACCACAGTGGTCAAAAATTGATAATGATTATCCTGATTTTGGAGGAGAAGCAAGAAACCTTCTCTTGGTATTATCTACAGATGGAATGAATCCGCATGGTCTTCAAAGTATATCACATTCAACATGGCCTATGATTATGATGATTTATAACCTACCTCCATGGCTATGTATGAAGCGCAAGTACATGATGTTATCTATGTTAATTTTTGGACCTAAACAACCAGGGAATGACATAGACATATACTTGACACCGTTAATCAAAGATTTAAAGATTTCATGGGAGAACGGTGTGGAGGTTTATGATGGATATAGGAAATAAAGTTTCAATTTAAGGGCGATGTTATTTGGCACAATTAATGATTTTCCGGCATACGAAAATCTATCAGGGTATAACATTAAAGGTAAAAAAGCGTGTCCTATTTGTGAAGAACACACAAATTGGAAGCGATTGGAATTTTTTCAAAAGAATATATTTCTCAGTCATCATAGAATCTTAAATTCTAATCATCACTACCGTGGGTGGAGAAAGGCATTCAATGGAAATCCAGATCATGATAGAGCTCCACCTATGTTGACAGGTTACCAAGTTTTTGAGAAGGTGAAAGATATGAGTACTCAGTTTGGTAAGCCTTTTGCAAATACGCTTGTCAAAGGTGGGTGGAAGAAGAGGTCAATTTTTTTTGAATTGCCATATTGGAAGTTGTTGTATGTAAGACATTTTCTTGATGTTATGCATATTGAAAAAATGTATTTGAAAGTGTTATTGGTACGTTACTCAATATATAAGGAAAGTCTAAGGATGGCCTTAAAGCAAGAAAGGACTTGATAAAGATGGGAATATGAACTGAATTAGGACCCATGATGAAAGGAACACGAACATATCTGCCACCTGCTACTTATACTTTA